TAAGAGTCTGGCCAAAATCTCCCCATAGCAGGTAGTCTCTGGAAACTTGGTCTATGAATAAGCTCTGTCTATATGCACGTATTAGATGATAACTCTGAAGCCACGGCCTCTGTGACTCTGCTGGGATAGAATACAAAATAAGCACCAAGATGCTTACCTGGAGGCTAAATTCCCAGGGACCCATCACAGTTCTACATAAGCATTAAACTCAGTGCCCTAGTTGTGACTGGCCTTGTTTGTTTTGGGCATCAGTCTGGCTGCCAGAATCCCAGTAGATTGTTTTCTCCTTGAAGCTGGAAGGCTAATGTGCAATACAGTGGAGGATGCAACTGAGTGAATCAGTGAGTAGAGTGGTACCCAGTGTTATCTTAGAGAAGAGAAGGCTTTCTTGACAAGGAGGTAGAAGAAGTTCCTGATGATGAATTTATCAATAAAAAGAAACTCTTCCATATGCACACATGGGCATCCCCAAATGTGTGTATGTGATGTTATAATGTCTCAATACATTGTCTCGTTTGACTCATTGGATGGCTATAATCATCTGGGATTGGAGGAGAGCTTGAATTATTACCATTTTGGGGGTCAGAGAGACGTTAGAAGTCTACGATTTGCCTAAAATCACTTGGGCAATAAGAAGGTCCAAGAGTTATTCTCGGCTTTCCCATCCCTCTGCCTCTGTATGATGTGTGTGAACTGAGGGATTGGTACCTCGGTCGTAAACTTTAGCAGCCCTCTCGATGATGCTACAGTTGCTGTCATGCCATACATTTACCCTATTGATACATCACACAGCCTTGCAATATTGAACACCTGGGAGTGAAATTTAGAAACCTACCACGTCTGCAGTGTCTGTAGTGGGCTGGTTATCTGCCTGCGAGGAGGCATAGTTTCAGATAGCTTGGGGTAAGATGTTCAAAGCTTGTATAGCATGATATTCGTAGCTGAGTTAAGACATGATAACAGCAACATTCTCATTTAGTTAATAACAAGATATGCACATGGTGGTACTCAAGGAACCCATGCTAAGTCCCCAGGAACTATGAAGTGATTTACTTCAGGACCTTACACTTCTATTGGAGATGGACGAGCATATCAACCTACCAGTGACTTATGGCAACGAAATAGTGGTGAGGGTGAGGCCCGGATGACATAGCCAATGATGGAGAGATCATGCAAATTGGAGTAATTTGAGAGGGCTTTTTAGATTTTTTTTTTTTGCCATGATTTTGAAATTTAGACACTGCATAGAGTAAGGACAGCTTTCTAGGTGATTGGTTGAGAATAAGCAAAGAGAGTGTGCCCAGACACTCAATTAAAAGAACAAAGTGTGGTGTTCGAAGATAATTAGACCCATCCCACTGGGTAGGCATTGATTTATGGTAAGAGTGGAATATTACTGTCAAAACATTGATCTGAGGCAGGGGAAAGAGTTAAGATGATAAAGTGCTTGCCACGCCAACTGTGAGAACCTGAGTTTTGGCCCCCAGCATTCACATAAAAGCTGGGTGATTTTGACTAATTGTAACTCCAGACCTTGGGAGGCAGACAGAAGTGATCCCTAGGGCAAGCTCGCTAGCTATACCAGCTGAATCACAAGTGCCAGGTTGAGTGAGAGACCTTGCTCCAGAAAATAATGTGAGGAAGACACCCAAATGATAACCTCTGTCCTCCAGATGCACACACACTTACACAAGCATGTGCCAAAAGGCATGCAAATGTGAAAACACATGCATGTGTACACGTGTCCACATGCGTGCATACACACGCAGAGAGATTGGGAGCATTATTGTTGGTACTAAATGCTTGGGTTAATGGTTTATTCTTCAGTGAGAGAGGTATCATTGATGCCTTTGGCCAGGAGACACACTGAAAGAATACAGTAAAGAATATGGGGGGAAGAGCTGTTGATACAGAGATGAGGCATCCCATGAGCACAGTGTCACATGAGGCATCCCATGAGCACAGTGTCACATGAGGCATCCCATGAGCACAGTGTCACATGAGGCATCCCATGAGCACAGTGTCACATGAGACATCCCTTGAGCACAGTGTCACATGAGGCATCCCATGAGCACAGTGTCACATGAGACATCCCTTGAGCACAGTGTCACATGTGCAATGAACAGGGGACACGCATGGATGCCTGGATGGGCATGAGGTCCAGCCCCTGAGAAATTCATGGGCTCTGTCCCTTACTAGATCCGTTATACTTTCTCATAGACACTTGCTCCTTTGGTCAGACAGTGTCACCGATTTTTGCTCTAGCTCTGAAGAAATGTGCCATCTATCTCTTTTATTGCTCCCTCAAAATTGACTTGAATGACTTATCAAGTGTCTCTAGCACTAAGCCATTTGGGCCTCTTGGGGACATAACTGAGCAGTTTGATATCGTTTTTGAAAACTCTTGCACTCCTCATCTTCTAGCCCATTAGATTTTGTGTCCTCTCAGTAACATTCCTGCTGGGTGGTTTTGACACTTTATCACTGAAGGTGGGCTGGTGATTGCTGTATGTATATGGATGTCAACGCTGACCCCGTATTTCAGTTAATGTGTAACACAGAAGCGATATTGTCCTGGGGAAAGCCACTGCTGTTGACAGAATGAGGTTTAGCAAGATAAAGCTGGAGAGGCTGTGTCGGGGTCCTGGAGTTCACCCAAGATGCAATGCTTCACAAGAGGACTTGCACATTGAGCTCCTGTCTATGCTTTATTATAACACTAAGACACAAAGCAAGGTCAGCAAAAAGGAATCAGAGTGAAGCCTGGAAGAATACAGCTACCATCAGCTTCCATTTGGAGCCCTTACACTGTGCTAAGTTCTTCCAGTAGTGAGTTGTGGAAAACATATAATTTTATATATCTGTCTCATTAAGACTCCTTGCCCGGGGATTTCACTGAGGCTTGTTTTCCTAAGCATCCTTTGCATAAAACAGAACAAAATACTAAACTCCCAGAAGGACAGCACGGTTCCAGCATAGGCAGTGTGAGCCTAGGAACCGTTCAACTTGTTCTGGGAATTGAGCAAAGTCTCCTAAAGGGTAAGATACCAGATGCTAAGCCTGTGCCAATTTTGCAAACACCTTTCCTAAGAATAGGAAAGTGCGTTAACCCTTCCCTGAACAGGGAGTAAATATATTATCGCTGTTGTAGTTTGTTATGGAGAAGTAGCTACAAAGCCAAGAGTCTTGTTACAATTATAAATTCAGAAGTCATGTTTCCAATTTCCCCCCTTTCTCCCATGTGTTGCTTATGTGGGAAGGGCTTTAGTTGGGGAGGGGAAGAGAAGTCAATACAGAAGGAGAGGGAAAGAGGAAGAATAATACAATAACACTAGGATGTTTGAGAAAGCCATAGGAATCATTTATTATTTCTCTAAATTTACACATAATACACATAAGTCTATCTGTACACACACACACACACACACACACACACACACACACACACACGTTTAGATGAAATTATGCCACTTAAGATGATAATTTCCACTCAGGAGCCATAGAGAATCTAACAAATTCCCCAGTGCCAGGCATGAGAAACCTCCTTTAGAGTTGTTGGTCATGAGAGTCTAAAAGGCTCCTAAAGCAATATAGTTTATTGCTATTGCCCTTGGTTGATTCCCAGACATTGAAGGTAAGTCTCCATTGATATTTGCTTTAGACACAAGACAAAGAGGACTTGAGCTGGATCTGACCCAAAACCCTCCTCCCTGAGGCTTAACTTTTGCAGTATCATAAGGTGCTACTCAGTCTGCCAAAGGAGCAGAGCACTCATTAGTCCTACTCAACTCTGACACCTATGAACCAGAACAGTGATCCGCACAGCAAGGTATCCATGAAGGCGTAATAGTGGCATGCCTGTCTTGGTGGTAACCAGCAGCTGTCTAAATTGGACTTAAGACCAGCTGAACAGGAGGGAAATCATGCCTGGTACTGGAAAACTAGCCCAATTGCCTGAGGCTAGTGGTCAGAGATCTCAGGAGAGTCTACTCTTGCCACTTTCTTTCCTCACCCATGTAAGTCCTAACTGCAGTCTAGACATTTATCCTTATACACACAGTTAAGAGTAGCTCCCATCTAGATCAAAGGTACTTCTATTCACAACAGATGAAACCATGACTAGTCAGAATGCTGAGAGCAATTCAAAGGAAACATCTGCAACACATCCCGCTACACTTATGGCTCAGCGAACACCTTGGACCAGGAAGTCTGCTGTAAGATTGAATCTTAGATTTGACGAGGAAACTTCAGTTTCTCTGTAGGAAGAGTTAAGTGGCCGAGTTTGGGAGAAGATTGTTCGAGCATTACTGTATACTTCCTTTGGGGATTACCTTTCTTGATGGGAGAGTCAGTTTGCTTGTTAGTCTAAGGGGACTCTTTGTTCCTGCTTGCTGATTAAGAATGAAACCGAAAAGCGTCTTGTTTTGAGAACAGACATCCTGAGGCGAGGGTGAAAGCCTTTGAATTTATTACTCTAAGCTTGGGCTTCCCCCAGACCCTGGCATCTAGGTACTGTCTTTGATATTTCATTTCCGTTTTCCTGGGTTCTCAGATGCTAAAGTTGAACAGTGCCTCAATGGTATGTGCCTAGGTGAAGTGATGGTTTTTATTTTAGTTAAAAGTACGCAGTGTAGTTTACAATATGTACAGTTTATGATGTATGTGTGTATACACATACTACATGTGCATACACACTTGTACGAGACACACTTTTTAAAGGGAAATGTCTTATTCCCTTTAAAGGGAAATGTGTGGCTAGCTTTGAGAGACTTGTGATGTGGGAGACACCACGACCTCCTTTGTTTCAGGCTCCGGATGGCTCAGAAATAGAAAATGATTTCATGGCAGAGGGTGACGCCATGTGGCACTGGCAGTAATGGTTTTACTATAGCAATGGACGACAATTCTGGCCCCTTTCACGTCAGTGACCCTCAGGAGGGCAAACATGGGCTGTAATGAAGGAGGTTTTAAACTCTCTGTCTCTTGTCCTGCTGTCTCAGGGTTTCCAGCAAAAGTTCTCCTTCCACAGTAAAGAGATCGTGGCCATCAGCTGCTCTTGGTGCAAGCAGGCGGTAAGTGTGGGTGGGGTGAAAGCCCTGCGAGCTCACCCGTGACCATATCTGGCCGTTCCAAGTGCTTGGGTTCCTGTCTACATGTGGAAGATGGCCCTAACCGAACATTCGCTTTTCTCATAGAGGATCCTTAGAAGGAGAAAGATGCTAAACTTGTAGAACAAAAGCAAATATAAGTAAGGAAAAAAAAAACCAGAGAGAAAAATTTTAGTCCTTTCATTTAACTTGAAGCCCAGGATGAAAGACTGGAAACCCTCCCCGATTCTTACCCTGGGCCTGGAATCTAGAGCTCCTTCCCCCTGGATCACCCATATGTCTTCCCTAACCATTAGACTGCTGAGGGTTTCTCATTGTACCAAAGTACAGCCTGGAGAGCCTTGAGTGACCTCTGCAGCAAAGGAGGCCAGGCCTCCTGGTTCTGCTAGTCTTGATGTGGGTGGCTTTGTTACGGAGCTGTGAAGAGTGGGTGCCTTTTATGTTGTGCCCACGGAGAAGTAGCCCTTCCTCATCTTTGACCATATATACGCATTAAGATCCCACACTAATTCCCCATTTATCCCTCTTATTTTTTTTTTTAATCTCCCATACCGTTCTCATCTACTCTTAAAAGCATCGCCATCTAAAACAGATGTTGCACTTTCTAATTTGCTTTCCTCTGGGATGGTTTTTTACTTCACTCTAATACAGTTGGCAAACGATGGCACTCAGGGCCAAATCTGCCTGCTACCTATTTTTGTATAGTAGTTAATTGTAGCATAGCCATACCCAATTGCTTAGGGATTATCTCTAGCTCTGCTTGTACCTCAGTGATGAGTTGAGTATTTGGGACACACCCAGGCCTTTACAGAAAGAGTTGGTTAATCCACATTCTCCCCCAGTCTCTCAATCCATCTACTCTTTATTTTTCAAATTAGAAGAATATTGAACAGTATTTTCAAGGTAGGAAAGTAGTGAAAAGTTGCTGTGTAGAATGTGCATTCCTTGTATTTGTAATCCTGCTTCGGCCACCTGGATACTTGGGTTATAAGATGCGCACTAGCATATCAGCTTTCTAGCTACTCTTTTGAGTGAGTATATAGATTAAAAAAAAATACACCACCCATTTATTGCAAAGGAGACCTAAAAAGAAAGTCTGCATTGTGTTAGCTAGATTCAAGGTCCACAGGTCTACACACAGCAGATTCAATACTATCAAAGAGGCTGGAAGAGGTGCTGTTTGAAACAATTGCAGTTGACATTTTTATGGGTTAAATGCTTTGCACTATAGCAAGTCTATGAGATTCAGCCTAATAGTTTCACTGGCATAATTTCCCCAGGCAGGGCCTTCATTTGTCAAGAGCCTCTGGAAGGGCCAGCGTTTGGTGTGCCACCACCATACCATGTTTTGCTTTCTTGGCATTTCTGTTTCATCCCAGTTATCACACATGTAACCTGTGTGCTTCTGTTTAAAAACGTTCATCAGTACGAGGCTATCTTACTTATAGTGAAACTCTACACCACAGAGGCAGGATCTCCCCCTGGATTAAGGTGTTAACCAGTCCCTAATGCTTCCCATGCTGCTGGCTTTCCTGAGCTGGTAAGAGCCCATGGCTAGGATAGCATCACAGCAAGTCTATTCTGATAGACTGCTGCTCCTGTGACCCTAAGTGAGATGCCTTATTCAGGGTCCATTAATTTGAAACCTTAATCCTACTTTGCAGCCAATACCCATATTCTCTTCATAAATTTGTCATCTAAGATACTCACTATAGAGACTTACTTTTCCCTTAACCAGTGTGGCAGACTTTGGCCAATTTCACAAAATTTTAATATCCCAGAAAGTGTGGAGATCATTTTGGCAAGGTCTTATAAGCAGAATTTATTCACAGACATTTCAGTATTGATATATGTTGATAGTACAAGTAATTCCTTCCAGGAATTCTAATGTCATGTAAAGAAACAAATAACTAATCCTCTATGACGTAGGAAGAAAACCTTGTCTTAGGAAGCTGGGGTTCCTGTGTATATCTCTCATCTCCAACATATAATCCTAAGTATGCCTGTTAGTCTCTATCTTTGAGGTCACTCAAGTTGAAAGAGTTGCTCAGTGTGTAAAACTCTTACCACTGTAGAAATGAGATGGGCATGCGCTGAAGTTTAACTTGAATTGCTTAAAAAACAATCAGTTTCCAAGGAGGTGTTCAAATGATATTTTTATGGTCTGTTATCCTTCTGGTTTTGTCTGTTTGTGAATCCCAAATAATGGGTGGCATTGAGAATTATTAATTATTTAATCAGCATTTTATCCATGACTGATATTAATTAACTACTGGATCACAGGAGGTCCTGACAATATGCAGAATCAAATTAGGGTAGCTGTTGTTTGTCAGTGTTCCTCAGACAGTCCTAACTGATGTCTGTTTCCCAACATTGTTATTATCAGCGGTTGCTTTCACTCTTAAATAGCTCAGGTTCAGTTGAAGTGTGCATTGTGTGTTCATGCAATAAGTGTAATTCAAGTTGCAACTAATTTAAGTAAAAAGTCATTTGATTAGAACTTAAGTTCTTTAATTATTGCATAAGATGAATTTTATGTTCGTTAGAAATGAAGTATCCCCGCATGTGACTATCATCTCATAGTCAGAAGGTGATTGAAAATATGATTAGAATGAGGTCACAGTGCCAGCCTCAGGAGAGAGTGGTGAGTTAAGCCCCCCACACTGGGGTGTTGTGCTAACTGTGATTAGCTCATGTTTCCTTCCTGTTAAGAACAAGGTCCTCAGGCCTTCAGAGAGTTATAGAGCCACTGTATTTTTAAGGGCTGTAGATAAGGTCAGTAGAAATGATCTTGTTGTGTTGTGTTACCACTGAGGTTAATAGCTTTACAGAGGATATTGTGTCCTCCTTCCTGGCTCCCTAAGCTTGAAAGATTACTTGGGAGGCTTTACAACTATGATAGAAACAAAAAGTCAGGATGTAGGCAATGCCTTCCCAATTGTCTTCATTTTCTTCCCTACATCATATCATATAAAAATTTGTGTGTAGTTAAGGTTAGCAGAGCCCTCCAAGACTCAGCATCTTTATATAGGCAGTCCATGAAACAGAATGCCTTAGCAGGCCTCATCCTGCTAGGTTCTTATTTACAGTTGTTATATCTATACTGGGATGAATTCATCTGGTCTCTAAGCATGTGGTTAGATGGTTTAATGCTGATGAGATGCATATCTTTCTTAATGTGTAATTTGTGTGTGCGTGTGTGTGCGTGCATGTGTGTGTGTGTGTGTGTGTGTGTGTGTGTGTATCTATCCCTTCTAGCTGTGAATTACCTCTTACTCAGAATTGCTCATTAGCCTGTTTTTCTCTCCAGTTTCACAATAAGGTGACCTGCTTCATGCTGCATCACATTGAGGAACCCTGCTCCCTGGGGGCTCATGCTGCTGTTATTGTCCCACCTACCTGGATCATTAAGGTGAAGAAACCTCAGGTAACTGCAGGATCCTGGTCTGCTGATCCCAGTGCCGAGAACTGCTGTGATTTTGCTTTTTCTACCTCAATAGGCTCCTATAACCTGCACACATTCATCCCTGTGGCTTGGTGCTTAGCTACCAAGTGCATCTCATTGCCCTATCCCTTGACCTCACTGGGCTCTCTCGTGGAACCAGACTCCCATCCTAACAAAAACCAGTTTCAGAGTAAGGGTGTGTCCTCCTCATCCATGTGTAATGATGCTCTGTGAAGGCGGGTCTCCTGAGTTTTAGTGAGTCCCAGTGAGGGTATAGCAGATTCTTACATGCTTCTTCCCTTCCCTTCTTCCCAAGCCTGAGAGGACTCAGCAGAGAGCAAGGTTGGCAAGCATCATAGTTTGGTTAAGAGTTCTGCCTATCTAAAGGGCAGACTGTGAGTCATGGTCTCCATTACACGCAAGGCGCACTTAGAGAGCCGCCGTGTTTTCTTAAGGTGAATTGAATCTGCTATCATAGTAGCTAATCCCATTCTGTGCTTTTAGTAGCTTTCCTGTTTAAGCCATTCTCCTCTTATTAGCCTGGGGGACTTTCCTGAGGATGTAGGGATTATCCTTCTGTTTAAAAGGTGGGTGGGATTTAGAACAGTAGACTAGAGAACAAGAAGCAGGCAGGACAATTGCACCCTGTGTATAAAATTATACTCCTGGGCCTGTGAGCTGAGTTGGATGCTACTAGGCCTCTGCTGAGGCATGTAGGTGGAAATTTCTAAAATAGCAGGGGGCCACTCTTCATGAAGGGTGATTATATGGCTTGAATTTTTATTCCAGAGTCCACAATAATGTTTTTTGCTATATTTGTGTTTCCCTAGAAACTATGCTCTGTGTAGAGCTAGAGCTGGTCTTATTCATCTTTAGACATCATACTGAATATAATGGCATCCTAGAGAGTGGCTAATTAAATGCTTACTTAATTGAGAATATCCTCTTGACATTTTGTATTTTGAAGGAATATGAGAGGGACATTAGAATATGAATACAGATGAGATGTGTGGGTACACACACACACACACACACACACACACAGAGAGAGAGAGAGAGAGAGAGAGAGAGAGAGAGGTGAAAGAGAGAGAGAGGGGATGAACTGGATAGACAGATGATAGACAGACAGACAGACAGATAATAGAGATCCCCAAAGTTGGACAGCCATCCTGTTCTACTCTGCCCCATCTTAAGCTTCTTCTCAATGTCCCAAAAGGGATTTTCTAACATTTTTTTTTTCCTCCATGCTGTTATCACTTTGCCTGTAATGACCTGCACTCTACATTTTTTGGGCCCATCAGTCATAATTTGATCACAAACTCAATCTGTCAACCCCTAATTTTGTAGCTATGGTATTCAGCATCTTTCCATCTATAGTAACGGAACCGTGCTAACAGCACTATCCCTACTTGGCAGGATCCTCTTTTCTAATGTTTCCCTACACACTTTGGCTGAGTTTTCCTTCTAAAACACTAATCTTACTCTATCATTTTTTTTCTGTTAAGGAAGCTCACTCCTTCAGGATAAAGTCCATATGTATCAAAAATCTGTCCACCATCAGGCCCGAGCAATGTCCAGCTCCTCCTGCAAGCTGGTCTTCCTCTCCCACAATCTACAAGTAATGCTTTAGATAGATTTATGTCTCCCTAGGGAACAAGAACTCTCAGGATCAGGATTGAACACTGTAGTCTTTGAAGGGAGGATTGTACTTAGTCTTTTTTAGTGCATAATGAGTTATATCCATATATTATTCCTATACAAATGAAACTTCAGGAAAAAAGTCTCCTTTCACTAACAAAATTTTAGATACCTTTCCTGGCTTTTCCATCACACATTCCTATTTTCACTACTGGTTTACATGCATAGAAATGCACCATTAGAACAGATACAGTAGTGTGCCCTGGTTTGAGGGTGGTTAATGAGTCATGCTGGCTACCAATAATTCTTCACAACTTGCTTAGTTTAAAAAAGAATCTTAGGTAGATGACTCTAGTAGTAGACATAGTCCTAAATCATTTTAAGCTGTTCCCATTCAGTAGACATTTTACAGTTCGGTCCATACCCCTACTGATAGACATTTACATGGTTTCTAATGTCCTGTTTGTAAGCAGAGCTGTGTTCAACCCTCCCTACTCCTGGATGAGGTTTTCTGTTTCTTGCTACTTTACTTTCTTCATTGTCTTATCATGGCTGGATGATCTTTCATTGCTGAAACGCAGTGGGATGGAGTGACAGATTTCATTCAGTGATTGACACTAGCCCCCAGGCTTTAAACTACTTCCTTGGGTGACTTCTGAAGATGAGTGAGCACTCGGGATTTAGTGCTACTGGGAGCTCCTGTGGCCTGCTTCTCAACATTGAGGACAAGTTCTCTTTGTCCCTCACTGTCCTCAGAACCACCTCCATTCCAGTGGGGGCACCTGGAGCAGGGTATGAGCAACCCTTAAATGAACAAAGCTCTGGCTTCTTCCTTCTATGACCTGTCCAAATGCCGTGTTTGTGGGAGAGACTTCCTTTGTTATAATGAAGTGATATATCATTCTTAGGTCCTTTAGTATAATCATTTATTTATGATCCCGTAACCTGGAAAAAGTTCCTCAAGGGGTAATAAGAGCTGAAGTTTCACTCACAGTTAAATGATTCACCCATAAGGACTTCTTAACTATCCAGGAAGGAGTCATAACTCTGATAAAGTTTTGGTTGATAGAATCACTTCCATGGCAAGGGGAGATTGTCCTGATACCTGGCCCAAGAAGACAAAGGGCCTTTATCTTTTCTGATGCCTTTCACAGGAGGATGGGCATAAAATGCCAAAAGGCAACTGCTGTTGAGATTAACAGGGCACAAAAACCAGTCTGAGTAGTGTTGATCTTAAAGAAGCAGTCACTTATGCCACTGAATTAGCTGCCCTGTCTGGAACAGGCAGACTTTGCGTGGAGTGTGGAAGGTTTCTTGACTCTTTCCTCACAAATACTTTGCAATAAGGTTTTGGACATTGTCTCTATATTCTCACAACACAAGCTACTTTTGTTGAATTTCCCAGGACTAGCCCAGGCAGGGCAAGATTTGCTGTAAGTTAGTGCAGACAGACAGACACCTTAGCTTGTCATGGCTGCGGTACATCCCAAATCTGCCTTCCTAGCCATCCGTTCCTCTCAAGATACTGCCTTGTAAGTGAAGAAATGATGTTGGGCATTTGTACTCCAACAGAAGGGGGCCCTGGGAATAGTGAGGTGTGCTGAGAAGTTTCAGAGCTATTACTGTGTAACCATTCTTGATGCTATAGACTTCCTTAGATCCCACACGGACACTCCCAGGTGCTGTCAGTCAATCACTGTAATTGTCTTGTAAAGAAAGCCTCAGTGTAGCTCAGAGTCACTTGCTATGTCTATGTTGAAAGACAGCTTTGTATGTCTGCTCCCTACTGGAGTTGAGTTGCTTGCCTCATTTGTAATTCCACCGTTTCCCAAATGTGCTTGACCACCAGGATCACCCAGAATGCTATACGTGTAATGATAAGCTTGAGAGAGCTGTGTAAGATATTCACCCGATGCAGTAGAACTACATCTTGGAATTTAATTGTTGAGCTCTGTCATGGACCAAGGTGCCTAGTGTGTTCCTGCAAGCAACTGGTATTTGCATTTATTTGGTCTAGGCAGGAAATGAGCTAAAACACCAAAGCAATGGGGAGACAAGCCGTCATATCCTAGGCACGGCTGTGCAAACCAGAAGAGGCTTAGTAAATAGTGTTGGTCGGATGAGGGTGATTAGGGTGTGGCTGTGCACTGAGGATTTGTGCTGGGTAGTGAGGTTAGCAGATGTGAGCAGATGCGTATCATGGAGTGGATGCAAACCTAACTGCTTCACAGATACTTTTTCTTGTTTAAACTTTACGACTGTCCTGTGAGGTGGGTATTATTACTTCATGCTAAAACTGAGTTTAAAATTGGTTGTTTTAAACATCTGCCTGACTCGGTAAAGTGCATGGGTCTCAGTATAGGGAGCTGCTGCTGGATTTTGTAGCAAACCCATCAGGCTCACGGCCCTCCTAGTGATCTACTTTACTGGGGTGTCTTTGCAAACCCACATTTTCAGCATCATGTATGATAGGACCACTGGGAAGTTTTTAAACTTGGCTTCTGCTTCACTTCAAACAGATTAATAGAGCTGAACGGGGTCTAGGGCTGAGCATTTTTTAAAAGCCGTCGGAGGAAGGCTAGTATGTGATGCTGGTTGAGGGGTGCTTGGAGCATCATTTGATGACACCCAATAGAAGCTTCTTCTGCAGCCTCAGCTGTCCCAAGCTTCCTTCTACACAAACTGACATGATGTAAACACAGCATCAGCCTTTTAAAAATGAAAAAGAGACAAGAACCTGATGAAAGCTCCCCTTACCCCAGGAATTTAGGAGCCAGGAGCTCTGTTTTCAGGGGAAGTGAGGGCAACAATGAAGAAAGCCGCAGAGTCAGGGGTACCCAGTTTCACTAATCCCTTTCCTGGAGAGTCTCCCGAGGTCGGGAAGACACTTCCCTCTGATTAAAGAAGAAAATCTGGGGATGCATGGTGGTTCCTCACAAATTTCCCCAGCTTGGTGAACATGGGCTACACATCAATCAGTTTGCTTGCTTGCTCTCTATCCATTCTTCTTTCTTTCCTCCTTCCTTTCTTGTTTCTCTTTCTTCTTTACCTAAGCAAAAGTGAAATAAATACTAGTTCACTTGAATCTTGTTGAATTTGATGCATTACTTTATGTGTTCTAGATTCATGTTTAGTTTTAAATGCTCTAAGAAGAAAATACTTGTGGTTAGTTATTTACATTTCTTCAAACTAGTTTGAAAACTATTAACTGCTCAAATAATGTAAGTGTGTATTCTAATGTCAACTTCTAAGTTAAGAATTCTGCATTTCAGGCTCTCAACACTTGGTCAAACATCTATTATATGGTCAGTACTATCTTACCTTTGTAAAGATGCAGTCTAATTATTATCGAGTCCACTATTAAATCTGATTTATGTGTGGTCTTCAACCAGTAAGTGTGATTGTCCTGTGAGAGTTCTTCCTCCAAGTATTTTTGGAAAACATTAAGAGAAAATGGTTAGTCAAAGTAATCATGGAAATGGGTCATAAAATCTCTAGAAAGAGAAAATAAAATTAACAGCCATTGTATGTCAACAATTTGGAGTTACAGCCATTAAAATATTCAAAGTGAAAATAGTTAAATTAATGGATCTTCAGACAGAGAAAGAGTAATGCTAGTTACTCCACTATTATATCATAATTAGGTATCTTCCCAGCATTTAAAATATTATGCCTCAGCGTTGTTAAGATAGTTGATCATGAAGTTCTATTGGGGTCAAGTGTTATTTTTATAACTGTTACTAAAGCAGATCATAAAAAGTAAAGAAGGAAAATGAAAAGAAAAATAAAAGCATAAAAAAAATGGCCTCCTTTTTTACATTTCCACATAGGTGATCTCCATACCAGGAGATGAACTTGAACTTGGTTGGGCGGGAGACGGACCTGGTTGGGCGGGAGACTGGAGCCCCTCAGAGAATTTGGGATTCTTCCATTTTTACTGGGAGGGTTGGCAGGTATACCAAGTGTTGTTATGTGCGTCCATAAGAGCCCCCGCGGCTCTAACTCCCTGCCCTCCCGTGGCTGTGGCAGGGAGTTGGGTGCTCACGTTGGAGCACTGGTCTCTGTCTGTGGCTTACCCATGAGCAGTGGCTTGGAAGTGTCAAAGCATGAGAAGCATGGAGTCTACGGCATGCGCTGCTGTCCTCTTCTCCACGGTCCTGCATGGCCACGCCAGCGCTGTCTGCCTCTGAGTTTAGCTGCTCTCTTCTTTCCCCACAGAACTCCCTGAAGGCTTCCAGTCGGAAGAAGAAAAGAACGAGCTTTAAAAGGAAAGCCAGTAAACGAGGAACGGAGGCAAGTCTCTCAGAGAGATGCCTTAGGCATGCAGCTTCCTCTGCTGCTTAGCTCTGAGGATATGACCCACACATCATCACACGCTCTGGTGGTGTGCCCTCGACACCCGCCTTTGTCCTTTTAGCCCATCCTACTCGCATTGGAATTGCTCATGTTCCAGATCTATCCGCCAGTCAGTCAAGGCTGACCTGCCCTATCAGAGTCAGAGCGTCTGTCCCTCCCTGGAATGTCTTTCCCCGAATGACACTGTCGATAAAAATGACAATGAGAACTGCTCCTTCCAAGACTCATAGAGTATGCAGAATAAAATCCAAGGCATAGCTCGGTTTTCTGGAGTAAATGGTAGTGGGAGGCGCCTTCTCCCAGGCGATATGTACACACTGTCGTGAAGATCCGGCCCTGTGAATAAGACTCGGGGTCCCAGTGTCCAGGGCTCTCTCTTTCCTTGCTTTGGGATGGCTTCCAAGCCCCGGGTGTCTGTCCTAACAATGCTGCCTTCCTCTTCCAGCAGGAAAACCGAGGTCGTCCTTTTGTGATCAAGCCCATATCTTCCCCTCTCATGAAGCCTTTGCTTGTGTTTGTGAACCCAAAGAGTGGAGGCAACCAGGTGAGTCATTGTCGTGAGTGTCGCTGTGAACACTTGACCTGCCAAGTAAAATTACATCACGGGCACAGCGTCTGAGGTGTGTCAGAACCAGGCGAAAAACCCAAGAGTCTGCAGCCTGCTCTTCCACACACAGTCAGACCAGACATTCTAGAAGGATCCTTACATAGTTTCTCGTAGTTAATAGGTTTCGGTGAAAAGCAAAGAAAGGTTTTTTGTTCGTTTGTTAGTTCTTCTTTTCTTTTTAAGTTCAGTGTGGCCACACTGAGGAAAAGGACAGCAAATGGAAGGGGCTGAAAGCTTTCATAATTAGGGATACATTCACCAGCCTGTCTTTATTTCTTCCTATTATACTTTAACCCGACTGCTTTGTCCCTGTCCTCAGACACAGGAACAACCAGAGCTCATTTGTCACAACATTGGTAAACAAGTACCTTAAGGCCAGAGAAATAATCCATTTCTACAGACCTCACTATTCCCTGTCTGTCTGCCCAGATCTTTCAGTATGGCTTAATGTCTGCCCCATTTAAGAGTACAAATATATCCTTCCGGGAGCTACTGGCATTCCTACAGCAACCTTGCTCTGTAAGAACACAGTTATCTCTACAGCCCAGCCCCTCTAGCCTTTCATCCATCTCTCTTCTGCTCCCCGAGGCTTTCTTTATTAACACTCTTCTGTGGGCTTCGGATTTCTGTTATTTTCTTGGGAATCTGGACGTGAAAATACCTTTTTCTGACCATTAAGTGTATGCTTTACACTTTGAGACAAGACTCTGTGGAGGCTCCCCATTACGTTGGTGGCACACACCTTTAATTCCAGCACTCGGGAGGCAGAGGCAGGCAGATCTATCTTTGTGAGTTCGAGGCCAGCCTGGCCTACAGAGCTAGTTCCAAACGATGTCATCATTGCTAAGATAATGGACCTTTCCCAGGATGAACTAACTACAGTTAAGGCTTGCCTTAAGAGAGAATAGGATATAAAAGGAACTCCCATCTCCTCCTTTTTTCAAGATTCCCAGTCACTTTCAATAATAAAAATCAATCTCAGTGCTGTGGAGAATGGATGTTATAACAAAGAAACAATTTATCTTCTGTAACCTTCATTTTCTGTGTCTGTTGGTGATGAGGTAGGTCCTTTCTATTTTAATGATATGGTTTTATAGTAATCAGTAGGAAAGGACCAGGTGATGGGTTCCTTAGGACTGATGTTCAGTTTGCCCTGAGACACGCCCACTCAAGGGCTGGCCTGAGTGATGCATTTGAAAATTAAGAAATGGAGCAAAGTAGATGTAATTAGCTTTGGTTTGGGTGGTCTGAGCCCTGCAGGCTAGTTAGCATCAGCCGTATTTTATCCAGGCACTCCCTACAGAAAGCCTTGAGCTCACTGTCTGGTCAAGAAGGACCTTGAACTTCCTGATCTCTCCCTCTGCCTCCTCACCACCATACCTGGTTAATGCAGTGCTGCTCCGGGCAGAACCCAAGGCAAACATGCAACCATGTGAGCTACATCCCCAATACTGAAGTGAATGTGTTAATCATGCTAAGAAGCCCTGCACTGGACACTCAGACTTTTGTTTTCTCTTTTTCGTTTTGCCTGCCTTCATGAGGCTGGCAAGCCGGTTAGGATACAACCCTATACCTGTTCCAGTGACTGCAAATTAATAACGACAGAGACTTTGTATGTTATCTAATGCTGCTTCCCAGTCCATTAACCACTAACAGACCAAGGAGGCTCAAGTGAATTTGGAGGACATCTGTCTTGTTAAGGACACAGAAGGGGTTATGGGGTGTGTGTGTGGGGGGGGGAGATAAGTCAGGTGATATTTGTTGTGTGTTCCAAACTGAGTGCACCAGACTGCAAGAGCTGTGGGATTCCAGCAGAAACAGTGACTTTGCACGATAAAGAAATAGTGTCCTGGAAGGGGCTGAGCTGGAAGAGGGTACTATGAGTTACGTGGAATGTGAGAGCAAGGGCCCTGTCTTCTCAGCCATGGGAACTTTCTGATCATCCTTCGAGGCTCACCAGTGCCTGTCTACAGCAGTTGTCAAAACCAGTCACCTCCTCCACTGTGCTCCATGGCCCTGGGATGGGTGATAGTAGTATTACCCTCTGAGTGTGTGTTCTCTCGGGATGTAGGCGTCAGCATGCTAGGGGACTGCATCTTTGAACCCTGGATCTTTAGGGCATGGCACATAGTAAGCAAACAATTGTATGTCGAGAAATACAAATAGCAGAGCGGACTAAGGTGGGAATTCCACATTTCGATGACACTGTGGCGAGTGCCCAGAAAAAAAAAAAACTACAGGAAATGTGGTACTAGATAAAGATTACAACCAGCTCATGGAAAATGCTTTAAACATTGGGCTGTGCCATGGAAACTGGGTTAAAGTACTTTGGGTTTTAAAATCTTGGTTTATGAACAAAAAGGCGACACAGGAAAGTTTAGACTCGGAGCCTGTTCAGGCTCAGGTGCCATCTCAGTAGATCGGGGTGGCCCTGAGTTCCCTGGGGTCAACCTCATTTCTCATGTGTTCCAGATGCTGTCTGCCTCTGCCTCAGCCTTGGGGGACAGATTGATCTCACTGCCTGGCAGGGCCTTCCTGCTTGCTCTAAGTGGGGTAGAGAGTGGGCGTATTCTGATTTTTGGGGTTTAACAATTAATATTTCATTTATTTTACTCATCTGATTTTAGGCAAAGAGCATTTCTGACTCATTTCCTCTCTGAAGTGTAGGCTCCAAAACTTTTTTTTTTTTTTTTTTTTTTTTAAACGAGCATTAGTCTCAAGGAAACAACTAGATGATTTCGCCATCTAGTGGATAGAAAAAGAACTCCCCCCCCCCCACTTCCTAAGGCATGGAAGAAAAAAAGGTCAACATTTTGAAGGATTATATCGGGTTAAACACACACCCTGGCTGTTTCTGTCAACGCATTATTTCGTCACCATTCATACTGAATTTCACAATAGTTGTCACAATAGTTGTCCGTATTTTCCCAGCACCATCAGGTTGCATATGACACACTGGTATTTTGTAAAGGTTTGGACACTGCCTGAGCTGTTGGTACCAAAAATATTTGAGACAGATACTGGGCTCAAGGAATAAAACATCAGCTTTTAGTAACTGTCCCTGTGGGAGGGAGATGGAAGGTAGGAGGCGGATTTATTCTAACACAGTCCCCTCCTATTGTGGGAAGTTGGCAAGGCTAAGGACCCCCCCACCCCCCGTTTACTGAGTTTAGTATCTCTTTCCGGGTTATTTCATATTCATTCACAGATGGACAGATAATAACCACTAGACTAATCTCTGTAGTCCCAAGAGATGAGGGACTGAGACCACTCACACTGTCCAGTGTTGAGTTCCACGTCAGATGTGTGGTGGAAACTTGATTCCGGGACCAGAGCTCTGGGACTTGATTAAGCAGAGAGATGCAAGCAAGGGGGTTAGCTGCCGGTGCACAGGTTCGTGGACAGAATCCATACCACTCCCTCTAGAGCAGTGCTCCCCAGAAAAGTTACCTTCCTAGGTCAGGGGTCTTCATACCAGTCTGGACCTGGGGAGCAGATAAAGGAAATGACTTCAAATGAGAAACCCGATTCCATAAACTGCCTCCAAAATACTTGGATGCACAGTTGAAGTGCTGGAAACATTTCAACCTGGAGCTAAATAAAACTTTATCGTTTTCTACGAATTCGGGCTTCTATAGGTCAGATTGGTTTGGAGAGACAGCCAGGAGACAGTAAGTAGATGAGGGGGTGTGTCAAAACCCAGTCAGCATCACCAGAGCAGCCTCAACAGATGAGACTAAAAGGACAGAATCACAAATCTGTTTCATGTCCCCTCTTAAGTTGCACAATCATTGGGAGGTTAAGCAGTGGGAAGCTCAGACACGTACCAAGACATGTGGTTCCTGTGATGGCCCAAAGCATACCTTTCGGCTGCAGTGGTGACATATTAAGGTGTCAGTCTAGCTCTGCTTGGTGAAACATGTCGGTGACCATTTCCCACAAAGCACAGTCCAGACATTTTAGCATTCAGGGCGTCATCTGTGTCTTACTCTGGCGGATTCATCTCACCCCACTCTGCCTCTTGCCTCCTAAAACTTGGCCAAATGTAGTTTTCCGTGGCAAGCCTTGTTCATTTACACCGCTCGTGAATTCTCTCTGGACTTTGACCCTTGCTCTGCTCCTATGGAAAGAGACACTCTACAACTTCGTGTTTAGACATTATCACCCTCTAGTGGCCGTACTTCTCACTGGTCAGCTCTCCACAGCGCTTACTGGCTTGAGTGAATTAGTGTTCGGTGTTGGTTTCCTTCCAGCAGAGCCTGTGCTAAAGCCACAATGGCTGATGAGGTGTGGGTTCTTTGGGACTATGTGTACCAGGAATAGTTATTCTTCAGCTCTTCTTCCCGCTGACCCTGTCCCTCCAGATCGCTTACTGACTGGTCAGGGGTTTTGCCCTGATTGGCTATGTCAATGCTACCCAATGTGAACTGGGACTTAGTGATGCTGTAGGATGCTCGCGTCGGATGCTCCTGCGGTACTCCGATGGAGAGCTGTGTGCTGCACACTGGGCAGGTCTTACTGGCTTCTCCATCATGATCAGATTTTGCTTTTTTGAATATTGCAGAGTACTTTTTTGTGCAGCCAGGGGAATCCCTGTTTGAGTTACCTCTTCATTCTCTCACCTAAAAGTACCATATACATAAGAATGGGGTGGGGCTGTGGATGGGTCTGGTTCATGTCTGTAATAAGCTACTTCTTGCTTTCCGAGAGGCTGCATTTTCCCTCAGCCAGATGGAAAAGGGTAGCATTCTTCAGCTCCCTCCCAAGGGTACCCAGTCACACAATACCCGAAGAGTTCAGCGCTCTGCGAGTGGAACTGTAATCCACGGACATTGCTCCCCCCCTATTCAAGGAAACCAGACTCCTGCATGAAAGTTGCAGGCCTTGCATTTGGCATGCAGCACGTGAGAGCTGTCATACGCTTAGAATTGCTAGTGACAGTTGTATAAATGACTGAGTAGCTTTGATCTCGACACCAAGAAAGATGCATATTATTCCTTTCCAGTGAATCCTATTTGTGTGACCATTGGGCTCCAATTAATGAACTGCCTTTGTGAAAGTAGCCTGTCTGAGTGCTAGAGGTGCCCAGTGGACCTCAGTTAAATGAGGGAGTATCTGCCTTTTATGGGCATCTAGCCTGTATGTCCCACTCACTAGGACTGCTTTAGAGGATGCTTTTATTTAATGTTTTGTCGTTTCTCATCACACAGTTTTTTGGAAATAAGGTGCGAGCACGTGTGTGTGTGTGTGTGTGTGTGTGCACGCACGTGAGAAAGAGAGAGAGAGAGAGAGAGAGAGAGAGAGAGAGAGAGAGAGAGAGAGATTCCATGCCTGATGCCCTCTTCAATCACTTTCCTTGCTCTTTCTTTGGGTCCCTTACTGAACTTAGAGCTCACCGATTTGGCTGGACTCTTTGGCCAAAAAGCTCCAGGACTACGCCTGCCTTACACCTCCCTGGTGTTGGGTTCTAAGTGTGTTCCTCCTGGCTTTTTAAGTGGGTGCTGGAGATCAAAACTTGCCTTCTTCGCCCTCTCATAGCAAGTCCTTTACCCATTCTCCCGTCCAACCGGACTCTTTAAGAGAAGTAAAATCTATCCATGCCTGGATGTAGCCAAGCACTGTTGTGCAGGTTACTCCTGCCCAGGTCCAGGGTTGCCAGTAGACTGACCCGAGAACAGACTCTTTGGGGTGAAGAAGGAAAAACTTGCCAGGCTTTGTAGACATCCCTCTCTCGAAGGATACATTGAGATAATTAGGTGTTCCAGTGAACACAGATGTAAAACGAGCAATCTTTTATAGAAATTTTAGGTTAAGATAAACAACCTCCCCATGCTTTGTATTTTCTTTTCTTGAAAGCTGTTAATTATCTCACGTAATAGAAGAAGCTGGAATTGAGATGTGCACTCTACCGTAGCAGAGGTGGAAAGGCGTAATTACCGTCAGCCGTTCATGCTGCTTCAGGAGTCAAAAACAGAGAGGTTGACTTTCTATCCAGTTAGTGGGATCTGCTCTATAAATTAATTGGTCATTAAAGTGATGCTTACACTATCTATTTAACATACAATATGATCAGAATGATCCCGAAAGCCCACGGGAGCAAGGTACAGCCTGGGAAGAAAGAAAACGATGCCCATGTCGATATCCCCAAATCCATGTTTGTGTTTGGTAGGAAACGAAGTATATGTCATTTCGTGAGGCCGAAGGAGGTGCTCTGATAATTAAGAATGGAACGTTATTCCCCAAATTATAGCGAGCATGTGATAAGGCAGAACTTTTAGATTACAGCTTTGGGGGAAATCAGAGGAATAAAAGAGCTGACGGAGTAGTGAGATAATTGGAAACCGCAGGGCCACCCCGCGCCAGCAAGTGTAATTGAACAAATGGGTTAACAAAGGGCAGAGAAGAAAGGCAGCAGGTCTCTTTTGCACCACATGCTGCGCTAGATGGTAACCATCAGCGAGTCACCCTGCACAGGGGACCGCCCTTCTCATACATACAGCACCTGTGCCAGATTCCGAGCACTCTGAGTCACCCAGAGCAGACCCTTAGGCTCTCACTTCCCACACGACACTGCACTGAACAAATATAAAACGATCAAAATACTACTTGCTGTGGCTGGTGAAAATGAATTATTCTGCTCACCTTTAAAGCTCTGTTGATACTGTTTAATTAAAAAAAAATCATCTGTTTCTTTATTTTCCCCCCTTCAGTTCACTTTAAGAATCTACTACCTTCTCTCTGCTCCCGTGGTCATCTGTATGAATATCTTGGTTTCTTGAACTGTCAGAAGGGACTGGGGAGGGTTAGGATTAAGCTGGTACAGACATGCAGGTCAGAAAGAGTCAAAAGTAGGCTATGACAGTGTTAGCTGATGAGCCAGCCCAAGTCATTTAACTTTAAACTTTATTGTTTAGAATATTATTGTCCACATATAATATGAATTATGGGCAATAGTAGCTAGTTATAAATTTACTAAAATAATTTTCTATGTGAAGCTAAAGTATAAATAGATTGTATATATTATAGATAAAAGGTTAATTATATATATGTATACATATACATATATATATGTATATATATATAAATTTTATTTTAGATACAGGCTATTACTATGTAATCCACCCTGGATTTGAATTCACAATCCTTGTTTCTGTATCTTAACTGCTAGGATGAGCTCAGGTCACCATGCCAGGCACACATAAAGTGTTTATGTGTAAAATAGGTATATGCCCATTTCTTCTGCCTCAGTGAGAAAACTTATTTTAATAAAATCATAAGTAGCTAATACTGCCTATACTTCTATGTTTAGACAAAGTAAAAATTGATGTCAAAGGTCACAGGCTGGCTGCTTTTCTGTATGGACTTTTCACCTTTACATTGTGATACCAAACTCTTAAATACTGTTCATGAAGCACATATCACACGTTACTGCAATTGAGCCTCGTAGAAGTGGGCACTCTCCAGTCCATACTGGAGAGAACACATGATGAGTCTAATGAGTTTATCCAGAGTGAACAACCATCTCGCCTGGACATATACCTTGTGTGTATCTACAGTCCAAGCTCATGACTTTAGCTACTGCTTCATATGGTTGGTAATGAAATATTATTTAAAGGATTTGCTTAATTTTGGTGTGTGTGTGTGTGCCTGCCAAGGCCACAAACATCAGGTTCTCTTTGAGGGGGTTGCTTTACAGGCAGTTGCGAGCTGCCTATTGTGAGTTCTAGGAATGGGATGACCACAGACCCCTTAATTAAGATTTAAGGGAAAATGATTGGGTTTATTTTCTAGTTTGGAAATATTTGTTTCTTTCTATTTACTTATCTATCTATCTATCTATCTATCTATCTATCTATCTATCATCTATCTATCACTCATTCATTCATTCATTCCTTTATAGGGAACTAAAGTCCTGCAGATGTTCATGTGGTACCTGAATCCTCGGCAAGTCTTTGATCTTTCTCAGGAAGGGCCAAAAGATGCGTAAGTCTGGAAACACCTCCCAACCCCACCCCACCCACTCCACAGGCTTTCTGAATTTTGGGCAAGTGAGGATCATAGGATTTGGGGTCTTCACGGTCCGTTGAGGTTTTCTTTCTGTTCACCTCTTAGTAACTTCCGCGCCTGTCTTTGTGCCTTGCTTGGAACCTAGCCACCCCTGTTACTGCGCTTGTTTCCACCAGACCCCTGTGTGGTCAGCTGTGGGGGCGGTTCATGCTTCTCCTGTGCTTGCTGCTTGTGTATAGAGGACCAAAGCCTGTTCTCAGAGAGCCAGGGACCGAGGGAGGACGCCTTGCTCTTCCTTCTGTTTGCCCGTGTCCAATTTTGGAGATACGTGTTAACAGACATGTAAATTTATAACCAAGGGGTCAACATACGAGTGAATGAACCTTTGATCTGGAGAGACTGTATGTATATGAACGCATCGTGAATGTGTATGTGGGGGTATTGGAGAAGAAAGAGAAGAGAAGAGAAGAGAAGGAAAGATGGGTGGGTGGAGGGAGGGAGAGGTGGGAAGTATCGAGAGTAACCAATTGTAGCTTTGGATGCTACGGTGCCCTGGGACAGACATTTTAATTTCTCTTCCACCCCCTTTCTGTATTTACATGTTTAGTTGGTAGTGTTGAAAATTAGGTCTAGATGTACGTGACCCAACATGGCGGCAAATGTCAGGGTTATTGCTGTCGTTGTTTGCTTCCCTGTGCTAGACCCGTTAGATCACTAATGTAGTTCTGGTGACGTGAGATGGCAGTTATTTTTAATAAACAGTGATGCCAGAGAGAAAGAGCTGTCAGTATGGATGGTTTCTAGAAAATGGCATTCCTATACAAAATGGGTAAATCAAAGATATTTTAAACTTGCAAGGAAATAAAAATCATGGAGCAGGTGTCTATCTTTCCCTTACTCTGTGCATGTCTTCACCACCAGGGTCTGCTGTGAGATTTTTTTACTTTAATGTTTGTTAAAGAGCTGCTTCTTTAAAGTCAAAACCTGCTTCTCTGGCTTGTGGTCATTTGGATTTTATATTAAGTTTTTTTTTTTTTAATCACTAAAGTGATTCCTTATGTAGATGTTTCATAAGGATCATAGCAAGACAAGAAGTGTGTTCAGAAGCACATAGACTATTTACTATATATAAGTGGGTGGTGGTTTCCAGAGCAGAGCTGCCCACACAGAGCTGCCCTCAGCTGGAGACTTCGCAGGGCAGAAGAACTGTGTTTCCTGGGGGCCGATCAGAAAGATAAAACGATCTGACCCCACTCAGGCACATTTAGAGTACAGACAAGCCCATGGGTCCCACCTTGAGCTGGTCGGAGGAAGGGCTGAGTGAGTGGGTGACTAAATACACTTGAGAATACTACAGTAATGACAGTGGCTGGAGAGCCTTCTCCATGTCTCTGAAATGTTCTAGGGTTAAGAGTAAAAAGCGTGGATTCGCAAGATAAATAGACCCAGGAAAAGATAATTAAAATTAAATAAGGAGGAAACATAAAGGCTGCTTATCAGTTAATTAGGTTTTTCTCTGAGAGAGAAGGAAGAGTGATAGGAGACGGGAAAGGAGAAAGGAAGTAAACCAGAAAGGCAGATAGTGTGGGTGGGCAGGGTGGTGGAGAATTACGAGGACAGCGGAGGACTCCAACGCCCACCCCAGTGCTGCCGTGGAACACCAGGGTCTGCTTCTGCCTTCTGATCCAGTTGTGGGGTCCGTTTGCCCCTGTTCTATGGGTGACGGGTAGATCTCACGTGTCCTTGGTGGGTAGTAGCAATTCATTTTGCCCGTGGTGCCTCTCCACAGAGAATAACGAGCTCACCTTGTCCTCCATTTCCTCTCCAGGCTGGAGTTGTACAGGAAGGTTCCAAATCTGCGAATTCTGGCCTGTGGTGGGGACGGAACGGTAGGTCCTTGGAAGAGAATCCATCTGCTCTTTTACCAGTCTGTCTCTCTGACTGGGTTTCCTGTGGGAGATTTCTTTCTTCAACCGAGTCTTTGAGCATCCCCACGTGAGTTCATGTCTGATGAAAGTCATAACCCCTCAGACTGTGAAGGGCGTAGCTGTCCTCATGAGTGCACACTCAGCCTTCTGGATGCACACGCCCTTCCTCAGTCCACTCCCTCAACTGTAACACACCATTATTATTATTATTATTATTGCAGAGTAAGGGCATTGTCATCCCCGGAATAAACGTTTTCACAGATGGCTAAATTCTTTTTCAAATGCAAGATGACATATTTCCATTTATCCTTTCATAGTTGCTTATTAATCAAATTTGTTTTTAAGGCAACACATAAAAACAAGGAGACTACCACCAGCCCTTTGCTGTTGTTTGTCATTTTTGAGAGTAGTTTCTGACTAGGGTAAAATGCTGCCTCATCGTGGTTTTGATTAACCTTCCCATAGCCCTGATCTCCATTCAAATACCCTTTGAGAAACGTTTATTGCAATTGCCATTTTTAAAGTGTGTCGTGCGTCTGTGGTTGAACCCTTTAGTTCCTTGTTCAGTCTGGATATTAATCCTTTGTCAGATGTATAGTCTGTAAAATGAATGAATGAATGAATGAATGAATGAATGAATGAATGAAGAGTGTCAGACTTTGATAGACAGGACTCTCAGATGTTGCTCAGATGGACTGGCAGTGCAATGAGGGGTTATGATGGATCCCCCTACAAACAGGCCTGGGGAGCAAGCCCAGGCCGCCAGGCTTGTGGGTGAGGCACTTTAATTGCTGAGACATCTACTGGGCTCGCCCTGCCCTTCCCTTGGCTGCTTGTCTTCTTATTTATTTATTTTTAATTTAATGCTTAGCCTTTAGTTTTGCCGTTAATTTTCAGTTAAGGGATTTCTGTTTTTTGTTTGGTTGTTATGGTTCAATGAACAAGATGGCTCAGCAGGTAAAGGAGCTTGCTGCCAACCCTGATGACCCGAGTTCAATTCCTGGGACCCACATGGTAGAAGGAAAGATATGAACCTCAAACGTCCACTCATGTCCGCTCTCTCGCTCCCCCCCCCCTTCTCCCCGACCCTCTCACCAACAGTAAATAATTTAAAAAGTTAAAATTCTGTCATCTTAACTTTCCCTCTGCCTTTTCTTGAGTTTCCTGGAAATGCCAATGGCTGTTTTTAGAACCCCAGTGGCTACTTTTTGTGCTTTAGTATTACAGTAGGCGAGGCCATGGTTTCTCGACAGCTCTTGGCGACGGTTTGTGATGTCATCTGGACGTGGGTGTTTTAGGCTTTCGTTTCAGTCTTTGCACCGAGGTTTTTGTGACTTTCCTTGGAGAAACTCTTTTGCTATTTCAGTATTAAAGTATTGGTTCCCACATTCACCATCGGTGTGTTGTCACAGTTATAACACTAGAGGGCAGTCTAAGCCCATGTTTATTGGAATCCAACTGGCACATGCGTAGTTCAGCTTGAACGGAGTAATAACCTAAGAAGAGTAATCGTCTCCCAAATCTCTCTGTATATCTGGGCTTCACCTAAACACCTTATCCATAGCAACTTGCCTGTGCTCACAGAGAGACCAGCAGCAGGCAGGCACTTGACCATGCATACTGCAAAGCTGTTTCATTCTGTGAACCCACAGCTCAGCACTGGGGTAGCGCTCAGGTCCATGATGCTATGAGCTATGAATGGCTGACATAAACTTATGTTTGGACCATCTGAGGTTGATGCTGGCCCAAATAGAAATCTGATGGACTAGGGCTGTGTGTATGTCTCTGTTGCCACTCAGGTAGGTCTAGAGGCTCTGTTGGCTAGCCCAGGCCTGGGAATGGAAGCTTTTAAATCTTTCTCAGTGTCATGGCTGGCACGAGTTCCAAGGCTTAGTGCTGGACTAACTAACTTATCCCGTCATCAGCAAATGGAGTCTTACTTCATCCACTCTAGGCTGGCCAAGATTGGAGTAGTGTTGGTTAAGGCAGTTTCTAATGTCAGTGTGAGTTGTACTCAAGTCCCCGAGCTCAAAGGGCCAGGACAGTCTCGGGTGTGAGGCTTATTCCACAACCAGGAGAATACAGGCCAAATGCGAGTCTTGTGTAGGGAGGCTCAGGCCTAGTGGCTAGTCACCAGCTGTGTTGATGGCCTAGGTCTCCATCCTTGAGAACTGGCTTGGGTGTGGGCTCTGCTGCCTGAGGTCTGAGGTCAGAGACTGCCCTTTGTCCACTAGGACTGATAGTGAGCTGGGTCACCTCTGAGACTTACAACCAGAGGGACCTGTGAACTCTTGGGAAATCTCAGACCAGTTCTAAGCTTGGCAGTGAGGCAGGCCAAGGCTTAGGTCTGCCCCTCTGGAGCACTGGTCTGTTTCAGACACCGGGGCATTAGTTGATGACTTCTAGCCTGCTTGTGGGTCTTTTGATTTTTGTTTGCCTGGTGTTCGAATGTGTTGTTAGAGGCCTGTGCTATGTTTCATGCCCCGCCGGCAGGCGGAGTCTGGCTCTGCAGAGTAGTAGTGGAGGAGGCTGGTTCCTCCCTAGGGCAGATGAGAGGCTCACTCCCTGGGAACTGACCTCGGGGAGGAGACAGGGGCTCTTTCTCTTTCATCTGGTCTCATCTGGTGATACTGATGCTGGGTTTCAAGTCTAACTTAACTTCCTCCTCTTCTTCCAAGCGAGGTTAACTTCCTTCCCAGCACTTGGAGTCCACACCTTCCCTTCTTCAATGTGCTGCTGCTTTTTACCTTGCGGAGACCAGGCGCTGTGACATCTCCCCTGGGTTGTTAGCATCTGGGAAGTGGTGTGGTGTGTGATTGCTGGAGAATTTTGCCTACCCATTATCTGCCGTGTGCTTAAAAATTCCTTATGTTTAGTAAGAAGAAATGTGTGGCAAATTCTGTGCTCTTTTATTGTTGTTTTTTTGAAAGGAAAATGTAGAACACTGGGTAACATTGTGTTGCCTCAGAGGTTAATTCACGTGGTTGGCATTCATTACTTTTAATTTGTGTGTGCATGCTGGTGCACGTGCAGGTGTGCGTGTAGAGGTCAGAGGTCAGCTTCAGGTGTCTTCCTCGGTTACTCTCTCCATCTGCTCACCCTCCCATCTTCCTTACAGACGGAGCCTCTCACTGAACTGTAGCCTGCTGTTTTGGCTGATTGGATGGCCAAGGAGCCCCAGTATCTTTCTGCTTCCCACCCCCATCCCAATTATAAAGTGTGCACTACATTTTGTGGGAATTGGGGTTCCAGCTGGGGCGCTCATGCTGGTGCATCGAGCACTATTCCTACTGAGCCACCTCCCTCGCTCCTCATTTGCATTTTTGAGGGAAGTGTAGAATTGATCTAAATTCTACTCACCATGTCTCACTTATATCCTCCCTTGGCCTTCGTCTTCATGTAGTTAGCAGAGTTGAAGGATAATCAGGCCAGAGTATGCATCTATGTACCTTTCTTCTGCATTCGGAGTGTGATGGTTTGGAATCTAAGGATGTTTTATGGACCACCATTGGTGTTCTTCATCTCCCTAGTTATGATGTTTTGTTCTTGAAGGTTCCTCTCATAGGCCGGGAGCGCTGGACACCACACTGGATGCACAGTATATGTTAGTGAATGACACTTGAATAGGGTGTGTCAGTACTTCTGTTGGGCCATCAAGATGCCTGGTGCAATATTCTAGTTGAGAAAATAGTGTTCACGCTTCTTCAGGATTTGCACTTATTAGCTCGTAAAACTCTTTCTGTCTTGTGTCATAAAAGGAAAACATATGTGCTTTATGTGTGTGCACTGGTTTGTTTTCATGAACTTGACGAAAGTCTAGACATGCCTGGGAAGAGGGAGTCTTAATTGAGAACATGCTTGCATCAGAATGGCCTGTAGACAAGTCTGTGGGATATTGTCGTGATGAATGATTGATGTGGGGAGGCCCAGCCCACTGTGGGCGGTGACACCCCTGGACATTTGGTGCTGGGTTGTGTAAGAAAGCGAGCTGTGCAAGCCACAGGGAGCAAGTCAATAAGCTGCACTCCCCTTGGTCTGTGCACCAGCTGCTGCCTCCAAGTTGCTGCCCTCTTTGAGCTCCTGCCCTGGCTTCCCTCTGCGATGGACTGTGATTGAGATGTATAAGCTGAATAAACCTTTTCCTTCCCCCAAGTTGCTTCTGATCATGGTGTCTTTCACAGCAATAGATAGCAAAACCATCCTGTCTTCCAAATTGTATTTCGTGATGGATATCCCCCCACAATGCCCATTGAGTCTGCGGTTACAGGCATCTGGGGATGTGTTAGCGCTGAAGTGAAAGGATCATGGTCCCTTTTCTTTCTACTCTAAGGGTCACAGTTGATGTCCAGACTAGATGACAAGCAAGCAGAGAAAATTGTGGTGAATTTATTCAATCCAAGTTTTATTGACAAGGGGTCCTTCAGTGTGAGGACTTAGAGATGCAGGAACAATGAATTGCTCCTCTGCTTAGATCTGGGGGATGCGTGTTCAGATCCTTTTTGGACTCTGTAGCATCCCTTCCTCCCAGGTGTGGGGCAGGGCTCCTTCTGCATGCGGGTCTTCTACTCTGTCAGACGAGGCAGATCACAACCTTCATGGCCAGCTCCTGTGCAGAAAGGCAGAGGAAAGTTAAGAGTTGTATTTTTAAGCTCCATGGGTTGCTCTAGGGAAAGGGGTTCTAGCTTATGAGTCACCTCGGTGAGCAGAAATTCGGATTTCTGTGACTCACCATGGGGAAGAGTGAGGGGAGACAAACAGGAAAGTCATAGTGAGATCTTTGCTTTGTCTTTCGTTTCTAAGCACTCAGTATGCCACAGTGACGCTGGCCGACTGTTTTCCACGTTCCAGTACTAGAATAGAATTCTTTTAGCTTCCTGTATTAAGAATTATATCCAGATGACTCCTCTGGTGCTAGATAGAGAATGTTCTTTGTAGTGTCACCAGCTGTTTAATGACAGGTG